TTTGAAAAGCGCGTGTTTGCAATTGCATTTAAGCGCTATATAAATTTAAAACTATTACTATTTTCTTGTTATTTAAAATTATCAACCAAGGGCGGAAGAAAAAATAAATAAATAAATCCTGAGAGTAGATGCGGTAGCCGCCGCACATTAAGACTTAATTATTACCTCGAAATGGCTTCCTGCTAAGCATCAAATTGGGTTTCTGTCACGCAAACCTAACCCCACAACGAGCTGCAAGCTATACTAGTTTCTTTGTTGGAATTTGCCGAGTTTCCGTAACAAGGAGGAAGTTAGAAATCAGACATGCTACGCAGAAAAAAAATGTGAGTAAAATATGGCGGTCGCGAAGAGACTCATATATATCCGCAGTCCGCGAAATAACGAATGGTGTTTCCTACATGAGTTAGATTTCAAAAGTATAACAAGCACACTGTACTCATGATAGGTAATTCAACGAGAACAAAGAACTTAAAAATCATCTCCCTCTTCGTAAAATAGTTTCACTCGAATTTCACTTGATCAACTTGTTTTAAAATATAAAGTTGATTTGGTGTCTGTAGAAATTTTGCTTGGAAACGATTAAATCGTGCTAGTTGAACGTTGGCTATTCAGTTTTAAAACGTGTACGAGTTCCTTCCACACTCCCAATATTCTCTACACTTAGTAACTAAATTTTTATCAGTACCAGTACAGGCTGTTGAAATGGGCGTTGAGGTAGGACGCACTTTGGTAACTATGGACTTTGGATGTTCTCAGCTGAAGCCTTTCAACAAGTTATTAGAGGTACAATGAAGTAAATAACACAAACATAATGTTGTAAATGAGACAAACATAATGTTATTTTCTTTAAGCAAAGTTTAACTGAATATTCTCAGGGTTATAATAATCAATGAAGACAGAACAGAATTCTGTTCATGCAATGACAAGATAAAAGTTTAAAATAACATTAACATACTTAATCATTATTTTGTTGAACTAATCGTCTATTAATTTATTTCAGTCATGCTGGAAATTTTCCTGAACAAATTACCTTATAACTCAGTGAAGCACATTAATTATGGTCAAGGTATCGTCAAGACCTGAATTCTTCCCCTCCTATAGGGAGAGTACTTGGTTGTATTAGTAGTTGAGGTAATATGGTTTTTGTAGATTTCATGGATAGTCGTTTTGAAATTTTGCGAGGCTTTGATTTTTTGCCATATTTATTTGTTTTTGGTGGAAATATTTTGTTGGAGAATTTTGGGAGTTGATAACAAGTGAACCCTAGCACATGTAGTCTAATATGCAACAGTTCCATCAATTTTATTATCAATTTCACAAAGGTCTCATGGGAGGCCTAAATGTATAATGGATATTGTTAAAAGAAAAAATTACAAAAATTCTGCTTGTGAGGTGCTTCCCTGGAAATATAATTCATAATTGTCCACATCTGGAGTTTGCACTGGAACCCAAGCGGTAAAAGAAAAGTGTTAGTGTTGGTAATGTCTGTGTCATTCTGATGTAGTAGACACCCTAACACAACCAGGTTATGAATTAATAGTGTCAGTGTAGGATGACTGGGGAGTTGATATAAAACATGTCAGGCAAGGGAAGTACCCATATTGGCTATCAGCTTCCAATATTTAGATTGTCAAATTATGATGGAACATGTTGTGATTTCTGTTAATTTTCCTTGTTCCATATTTTGCAGTACCAGAAAATATCCATATTCCCCCCCACAGAAGGGATTGGAATTTCCAGGGGGGTGAGGGGTTCTCTAAGACCAAAAAATTTAAAGAAATTTATCAAGTTTAATTGGAATTTCCAGAGGGGTGGGGGTCTTGGAAAAAAATCACTTCCATGGGGGAGGTATGTATATTTTCTGGAACTACACATTTTGATAAATGAATATGAGACAAAGGAAAATAAAATCAAAAAGCAAAATTTTGTAACACAATGTATAAATTTGCATTGTTGTAAAATTATATTTTGAAGTTATTTGGCGCAATGGTATTCAACGTTGATGAAAGTCGAATGTCCAATGAACATCTCAGAATTCCAGTGTAGGCATAGACGTCTGCTCATCAAAGCTAGGATTGGTTTTGAGAGGGCTGCCTTAGAGGTCATTTTTTTTTTTTTCTTTTTCAAAATGAATATTTCAGGACACAGGAAACACACCTTCTCTCTTCTGATCTTTAGGGAGGTCAATTTCCAATTGAACCTTCCTCGTCTTCAGTTTGTAGTATGTGGTAGCTGTTTCAAAGTACTAAAGGAAAAATGGTCGTTGTCTTCCTTAGAGTTCAATGAATTATACTTCATAATATCCAACTGTTCACTACCTCCTGGGAGATGTTGAAGGCATGTTGCTTTTGGTGGACTGCTAAGCAGTCAACCAATGAAAATGACATTATTCTAACAATATCCTAATAGCTCCATGTATGTAGAAGTAGTGTTATGGATAAGGTTCCCATATACTGTAGGGTTACTTAGTTCTGCTAACAAAAAATGTCATCTCATGTCTT